GATTATGAATTTGGAACCAAAAATTTTAATAATTGAAGAAGCGGCCGAAACAGTGGAGTCACATATTATTACTGCTTTAACGCCATCTATAGAACATTTAATTTTGATTGGGTACACAAATTGTTTAATCATTTTTCAATTTGTATCTTTTGAGAATGTATATATATATATTTGTTTTTTTTTTTCATTTAGAGATCATATGCAACTTCGACCAAATATTTCTGTCCATGAGCTCGCAAAAAAGCATGTGAGTATATTCTATTAATCAACAAATAATTATTTGATTAGATAAAACTGATTCAATTATTTACTTGCGACACTTGTAGTATCTTGACGTGTCACTTTTTGAGCGTCTGACTAAGACGTTGCATTACACGCAGCTAACAGAACAACGTCGTATGCGAACTGAGATTCGTAAATTGCTAGAACCAATTTATGGTGACAGCCTCACGGATCATGAGTCGGTTAAAGAATATCCTCGTGTTCCTGGATTATTCAATGATCTTTTCTTCTTTGATCATCAAGAAGAGGAGTCAGCCGTTAAAGATTCAACGAGTAAGATTAATAAGTTTGAAGCTCATCTATGTGCCAGATTTGCTTGCTTTCTCGTAAATGGAGGAATTGACCCAGAAAAAATGTGAGTGTATATTTATATAATGTTTATCAAATTTATCGGATCGATTGTTGACAAGTAATTTATTATTTCGATGTATATAAGTACAATTCTTAGCATGTATTCTAGTCAGCGCAAAGAAATTAATAAATTTCTTCGCGAAGAAAGTAGGAGAGTTGAAGCAGCAAAAGATATACATGTTAGTTCTGTTGATGGGTTTCAAGGAGAAGAGAATGATATAATAATACTTTCCTTGGTAAGAAGTCGTGATCCAAGAAGTGGTATTGGATTTTTAAGCGTAAGCAACAGAGGTGAATATTATCTTTTTTTTTTTTTTTGAGTTTGAAATATTTCATATTTAATCAATCTTGGTTTAAAAAATGTAGTGTGTGTTGCTTTGTCACGTGCTAAACACGGCCTGTACGTTTTTGGCAATGCATCCCAATTAAGAATGCAATCAGAACTTTGGAAAAAAAATATTGAAAATTTTCGGAACAGATTCCTGTGGGCAAGACCTATATTTATTCTGTCAAAAACATTCCAATTTTGAGTTAGGTCC